TGGGTTACAACAAGAGTATTTCCACTTCAAGAAGTATGATCTTATGCAAATTAGTTACCTTCTTTAGTCTCTGTTTTCTGTTAATCAGGAGGGATAATGATACTTACATATTTCATAAGTCATTTTTAAGGATACCAGAAAATATAAATTTATCAGGACTTTTTCTGTATAAGTGGGAAAAATCCTGAATTCAAATTTGTTCAGTTAACTACAAGAAGGAAGAATTTATTACTTTATATTAATGTCAAATTCATATTACCATCAGATCCAGCTGTTTCAGATACAACTAGATCCAGGTTCAAATGAAGGTACCATGATTCTGTCTTTCCAAATTTTGAAGGAACTTTCCTTTGTCCTGGATTAATTCCTAGTCAAGCTATTTCTTTGTTGTCATCAAAAGCTCCTACAATCTTTAAGCTTAGATCTTGCATCTTTGCCTCCCTACATGGCAAGAGCACCCTTTATAAATTCCATCAGAAGTCCCAGAGATATCTCTCACTGGCCACATTTGTCAAACATCCTTCTCTATAGGAAGGAAACAAATCAAATGTACCAAAGTTGGGCAAGATATGAGCCTTTAAAGAAATGCTGAATTCCCAAAATAAAAAACAAACCAATACAACAAAACCAAACCAACAATTTCATTGTAATAAATAAAATGTCTAGAAAAGTATTTGGCACAGATTAGGTATTTCACAAATGTATATTCATAATTAAAAATAGAACCTAGATTTTTAAGCCCTCAAATATAAAACGCTACTAGCTTGTGGCCAAATTTTCCTGGACCACACATATATAGCCTTTTACCCTAAGATAACCTCTCATTAGAAGGAGATTATAAATGTGATGTTTGCACAACTGTACTTTTGGGATTGAAACTATTCTGCATTTTAGAGAAAGCCAGTGATCTTTCAAAGAGCCTGAGTGCAGTCTAAGTTAAAGACAACTTTGTAAATAATTTTTTAAGGATTATCATAATGCTTGAAGAAATTGTTCCATTATACTGAAAATATGGCTACAGACCGAACATTTATTCCCATCTAGTAAAATCAAACAGAATAGCTTTCACCCAAATTCTCCCCACCAACAACGTAAATTCTAAATGGTTAAAATCTCTACAAGAGTGTGTCCTTCATCAATAATTAAAGACATCTAATGGACATCTGAGCCATCAGAACCTATAGATCTTCTGTAAACATGTTGTTTATGAAGCATGATCATAATGTGTAAGTATGTCAGGGATTATGACAATGTGCTTTGTTTTACCTTCATGAAGTATCTTATTTCCAAGAGTGTACAGCTTTTGGGTAGGTGAAGGTAAATTAAAGAGAATCTACAAAATAAAGGTAAGACTAAATTCAGTAATTAATTTTCTTTAAGAACTTCAACTTGAAGAATAAACATTTGTTTTTATTTAAAATTTCCATGAATTTTAAACATCTAAGTCTTTAGCATATTTTAAATATCGAAGGGTTTCATTTACCTTTACTTTTTCAAAGAGCCATCACAAAAACAACCCCAAAAAATAAAGGTTATATTTTCCATGGTAGCAGTGCAATAATAGCTTAAGTAATTTTTCTCTTTCATTTTATCAGTCATCATTAATCTTCACATTTAAGGGAAAATGACTTTTTTTAATTGACATTCAATGAGTATGAATCATCCTCAGCAACCCAGTTGTAGAACTGGGGAGATGTTTGCCATTTTACTGAACATTAGCAACCCTGCTGTTTGAAAAGTGTTCCTGTGGTTTTGTTTTGAGGGGGCACATCAAGATTTAAACAGGTAATTAGACCCTTTACATTTCTACCAGAAAATAACAGATCATACTTCTTTAAAAATAAATGGTCACTGAGCCGGGGATTTAGCTCAGTCGTGCCTCAGGCTGCCTCACAAACATAAGGTCGTGAGTTTGATTGCCAGGTATGAAAAAAGAAATGGTCATTTCAGTGGGGCCACCATATTTCACTTATGGTAAGATTTATCAACCAGAGCACAACTAATCACAGGCAACTTTTATGACATTACACTGACATTTTCGATCAAATAAAATGGATCGACACTGTAGCAGAGTCAAAAGGTATAGGGTTGTAATTTTCAGTGATGAGGTTCTTTCTCTCTGTTAGGAGAATTTAAAGGCTAATCTGGTCACATATGAAAGGCATTGTCATATTCAACTTCTAAGTGTCATGAAACTTAAGTCCCTAAAATATGACCCCAAAATGCCAGTTCATGTAATATAATACCCCGGGATAGAGAAGCATGACAGAGACATGAAAGGAGAAAGGGTGGGATCCCAGAAGTTGCCCTCATAGCAGTTTCTGTGATACCTGTGTAGCAGTGCAAAACAGAGAATGTGTATTGAGGAAGCAATGATAGGAAAAAGCCAGAGAGTCATTTTTCTATGGAAGTTGCTTTAAGGGGTCATCCTCTTGACATGTCCTGGGTCCCATTCTATTATCTTATTTGACACTGAGTTAAACATCATCAATGTACTCCTTCAGGCCAGAACTAATATCCTTTACTTTTTTCTGATCATCTTATTCTTACTCCTTTCACCCTACTTTAAACATAGTGCCTTTAATGTACTGACTTTTGACTACCCTATTCTGCTTCCCTTGTGTTGCTTTAATGCAACCACTCACCACCCCTTAACTTTGGATGACCTCAAAGTATTAGTCTCATCAGGAAACATTCCCCTTCTCCCTCATTCCCATGTGTGGACCACGTGCAAGGTTCCATACCATTTAATCATCATAGCTTGTATACAACCTACTCCACTAATTTAGGTCCCCAATTAAATACAGTTATATTGGTGGCTTCTTTTTGTGTGAATCTGTGTCACTGTCTCAGTCTCTATAGGCATGGATTGTATTTGCTGAGTCAAAGTATAAATATTTATAAATAAATAATGTTCTACTTGAGAGCCTGAGGCGTGAGGATTTCAAATACAAGGAAAGCCTGGGCAACTTAGCAAGACTCTATCTCAAAAAGAAAAGGAGGAAGAGAAAGAGGGAGAGAGGGAGGGAGGGAAGAGGGAAGGAAGGGAGGGTGTGTTAAAAGCAACTTAAAATCTATTTTTGAGTCAGAACTATGTTTAAATTGTGCTGTTGCTCATAATTAACTTTTACAGATCACTAAAGCACTCTGAACCCAACTTTTCTCATCTTTAAAAGATAAATAACAATAATACCACCCTAAGTTGGAATTAAATGGTAAATGTATACGTACTCTATATAAATATAGCAGTGACCCATGATAAGTGATTTCTTCCTATTTTTAACATCTCTGATACCATCTATCCTATTAACATAATGTTTTAACCTATTAACATAATTAACATGATTTCTATATTTTGATTTGATGAATTAAGACAGTTGGGATGTACTGTGCTAATCAAGATAAAACCTCTACTACATCCTTTCAATTTGGTAAATTTTAGGAGCATTTATCTCAATAACTACTTATGTTACTAATAATTTCTATTTTTTAAGAAAGCACTAATGCCATGAAAATATATGCAGAATACTTTCCATATTTCTTTTAAAAATTAAGAGCTATTCAAGATGTTATTTGAAAGAGTCTATAATATAGAAAAGCATAGCATCTGATTTGTGTGTGACAGTTCTGACTGACTATGTGCTGTTTCATTTGGCCTTGATTATACTTGAGTAATCAAAAGACTTGCAAATGGTGCAATTTGCAGAGGGAGAGTTTATGGTTACAAATAAAGAAAAATAGAAAGGAGAACCAAGAAATTTATGAAGATAAAACCTTGACACCTTGATATTAAATTCTAAATATTGTACATTATATTCTTTAACTAGTAAAACTATAAGGATTTAAAGTTGATGCACAAATGACAACATCCTTAGTGAAATAGAAGTGTTTCTTAACCCAAAAGAATCCAAGTTCTGATCAGTAATGTGGAGATCATTATCTATAATAACATTTACTGGTAAAGGGAAAGGAGTGAAACCTTAGACTGAACTCAGCTGTGACTAAGGCAGGTTTATTTCTGATTTCGGAATCCCAGAGTGGAAGTCATGCAGTGACTCAGAGCATTGTGATGGGCCAGCTGTCCACGGTCAAAGCTCTCCTCTGTGTGGTGAGGCACCACCCTGCCAGAGGGGAGACTCACTGGAGCCTCAACGTCATTTATTCACTGACATACTTGACACAGTTTCGATGCTAATGAGAGAGAGCAACATGCAGTTAATTTACCTTCACTACCTTGAAGATAGCTTTCACCGATTCCCAGAGCACATATGAAATGCCATAGTGGGTCCAATTAGTGACTGTTCAATTGGGATTCTGCATTAATTGTATTATAGTTATCTAGTATCTTGTCTATTACTTTTCTATACTGTGAGGACCTTGTGGCAAGGGACTATTCCATTCATTGTCTCACAGCATATCAAAAAATGTTTGGTACATAACAGGTACTTAAAAGGTGTTCACGGTGTGAATGTACAGTATGAAGTTATTATTGTATGATCCAGTCTAACCACTTGTAAGAAAAATAAGTTTATATCTAGCAGCAATGAAAACAACATAATTCACTAATTTGAGGAGTAGTCTTTTAAAAAGATTCAAGTCACAGACTATTTGCTGATATAGCTGATGGTCTACAAATAGTACCATTTTAAAGCCTTGAATCAAAGGACTTAATTTTTCCTTCAATATTGTCAATATTATTTACATGAACCATGGAAATCCTATACATAAAATCTTCAAATTGTTCTTTATAATTACATACTAAAAAGGAAATTATAAGTGTATTTATCCAGATATTTCAATATCTGGATCCTGTCACGCAGAGGAGAGAGGTGGGATATTATTTTATATCTAGAATGGAAAGTCAGGAGCCTTACGAAACGTGATGCAGTTGCTTCCATGGAATTTTGTCAGACCAATAGGAGCTTGCAAAGAACTTTTATGGACAGTATAAATATTTTGAGCTGTGGGCATCATGACCAGCTGATATTTTCTTTCCTCAGGACCAGCTGTTCAGGAGCATCCCAGACCAGAGGCAGGCACAGTTGAGGCTTGGATCTAACTAAAGACTGCTGCAGACTCTTCTGCAGCAATGTCGGTGTTAGAAGAAAGCCGGCCATTTGCTCAACAATTATCCAATGTCTACTTTACAATACTTTCACTTTTCTGTTTTAAGCTTTTTGTGAAAATCAGTCTTGCGATCCTCAGTCATTTCTACATTGTGAAAGGCAACCGAAAGGAAGCGGCAAGGATAGCAGCTGAATTTTATGGAATAACCCAAGGACAAGGTATGTTCATGATAATGATCTCCTCTCTTGAGTTCAGCTTATCACTTGATCTGTAGGCCAATGAAAACATCACATTTTTCTTTAGAGAGTTTCAAAGTGACTATTTTTTAGACTTATATTAAAGAAAATACTTGTAACTCACTATTGCTTCATGAAAAATGAAAATTGTTTTTCCCTGTAAACATTTAACTTAAAAATCAAAGCATCATTGTGAACTACATTATATATAATTGTAGTCTATTAATATTTTATTAATAAACATTTAAACATTTCATTTGCTAAGTTATACTTTTAGATGTAACTGATTGTATTTCAATAGTCCTTTAACATGTACTAGCATTATATCATTTTAAATCAAATACTTAACTATACATAAAGTAATTTTATTAAAATAGAGGATACAAAGATATTATGCATAATTTTATAATTTCATTCTAAAATAAAGCACAAAAATGAAGATGTATGGCATGTGTTTTCCTAAAGGGATTGTTATTGTTTATTCAGTCTGTCAAAAATTGTTTATAAAAGGAAAAGAACACAAATTCACAAATTTTGTGTGTGCAGCCAAGTGCATCTGTGTTTCTTAGAAGAAACTGAAGTATGAGATAAAGTGAAAACCAATAACATTAATCATAAGTTTCAAAGTTTATAATACCATTTACATTTTATTGAACCAATATTCTATATAGTAAAAATGATTCAGATGGTGGGTTTCAAAGTGATATCTTAATTTCTTATGGTCTTTCAACTCCTCTCTTATTTGATGTGAATCAAGGTATGTGTGAACATTTTATTCCAAATGCCTCTAAGGCAATTTAAATTTTCAGAATCAAAATGCAGTATCACACAATTGGAAAATGTTGATCTTTTAAAAAAGAGCATCAGAGAAGAAAGCTTGCCTTCTTAAAATCTATTTTCCCATATTTTTCAATTTGTGACATAATTAATGTTAAAGCCTTACCCTATTGATAAAATGAAAATCGAGTGGAAAATCTTTTATCATGTGTGAGGTAGATAAAATACTTTTCTGAGGAAGGTTGCTTCTGTACAAAGTGAAAAATTTCTGTATTCACTCAAAGCGAGAACAATCTAAATGCCAAAATGAAATCTTCTAAAGAAAATGAAGTCTGGAGAAGGAGCAATATTCAATCCTTTACCTTCCCTCCAGCTTTGCCTCAGAAGGGAATAATTGTGTTTAAGTGTAATATCTTTACTGCTATGTGTTCCAATTAAAATTTTTAAAAATATTAGTCAGCAAATATTGAAAATTAGATTGGAAAACAGGTAATAAAGTCATAAGGTAGTAAAATTTATTCTTATGGGAAGATCACAGCTCATTACTTCATAGTCAGAACTTGTCTATATATTATGAAAATTGCCTTAGGTAACAGTGAAATACTGACTAAAAGGAGAAACTTTTTTTGTGTGTTGACAAGGATTTTAGAGGAGTCTATGGAAGCTCCTCTTTGTACATATTCACAGATAAAAGGAGAGTTGTGGGTGAGGGTGTAGCTCCCCAGTAGAGGCTCTGGGTTCCATTGCCAGCACCACAAAAATAACTGCAAAGATGGCCCTTCCCTCTTTAGCATAATCTCACCTTGCTTATGCAGGAAATTCATGAGACTCCATGAAGCAGCTCCCATGATTCTATTTCAGGATACATTTTATTCTAAACAGGATCCTAAAATCCTGTTTATTAGAACTCTAGGATTGTGTCCCAAGATGGAAAGAAAGAAGGAAATCAATACTCACTAAGAGAAAATGTATTTCCTGGAAATGTAAAATGGGAACAAAGTTTTTAACAGCTTAGTTTTTTTCTAATATTAGGGCTATTTAACAAAATTCTCTTTCCCAATATCAGCATTAATCTATATATTTAAGAATAGAATATGCAACTGTAATTTTTATTCAGTGTAACCATAATTAGTATCCAACTTTATAAAGAATAAATCAAGTACCTTGCAAAAACTCTTAATCTCTTACTATCAAAAGATAATTCTTCTTTACTCAAGAAATTATCATTTTCTCCCTAATACTTTTTCTTTTTTCTTTGAACTATAATTAAATTATTTTATGTCTTTAGATTGACTAATTGGGTTTAATTATCTTTATTTAATCCACCAATTTCCTCCTTCCTTGGAAAGATTATCACGTTCATTCCACTTTGAATTAAGTTTCTCATTCCTACTTTCAAGGCTTAGCCAGATTGCACCCCAACATTTCTGATGTGGAGTTGCCAAATTCCATGAAATGAGGTACGATGTGTGTATTTTCATGTCTTCCATAATCACAGAAGACCCTGTTGACAACATTCTTGATGCCCTCCCCAGGAGCAGTAGTACTTTGACATGAAGTAAAACAAACAATTGATTTTTCTTGATAATAATGCAAATCACCTCATTGCATGATATAAAAACCTCAGGTAATTTTTAAAAGCACTTTCCAGTGAAACTTAGACCTAGAGGTTAAACACTAGAATGTCAAGAAGCTATGCGGTAATTAAAATAGCTTAAATTATTTCCTCACCTCCACGATGCCAATGAATTTTACAAATCAATATTTTCACCTCTGAAGACTCATCAACCCATCATATTGAAGGAACCTATTCTTTACTATGCTTTTCTATTTAACTATCTCCTGTACCATTCTTGCTGTTAAATATTCTGATTGCAACTCTCTATGTTAGAGCTCAAATCTATTTTTAAAGCCAGCACTATACTTTAAGATAAATCTAACAAGAATTGGAACGTATTTTCAACTATAATATTAAACAGTTCATAGAATGAGAACATATTTGGATGTGGAAAAATATATTAATTTGGAAAAATAATTCCAAAAGCTTAGAAGAAGCCATGAACTTCTAAGATCCCAAGGACATGGGACACATCAAGGGGCAACTTCTCTCTTCTCTTATGGACACTGCTTTCCAATGTCTATATTGAACTCTAGAGAAGTTCAGCCATTTTACCTTCAAGTATGTAGAGTCAGTTCTAAGGATTTTAAGGCAATGAATATACAGGATATAAAAAAAGCAAAATGTATTATTCTCACCTTTAAGCAATCTATATTCTAAATGAGAAATTGGGATGTCCACATATAATGACCATTTTCAGATATACTAAATGCCAAATGAGTCTAAAAAATGAAAGGGTCAATTTCAGGTTCACATTTTCAGAAATAACTTTAGGGAGGAGAAACATACTTAAGATAGATTTGTATAGTTGTAATCTTTGGAGTTAGACAATGGAACAGGTTTGCAGTAGGTAGATTGCTTAGGTCTCGTTATAAGAAGATGGGGACCTAAATCGATTTGGTAATGACTGTGTGAAAAGAAAAGGAAGTACAACACAAAAAATAAAGGAAAGAACAAAGAATGATTCTGATTAGCCACACAGGCCCTGCAGTTCCTAGCCAAGGCCACCTTGGGGAAGTAGACCCTTAGCTGCTTGGTGAGTCCTGTGGGTCATCTATATCTACTGTGAAATATTAAGATAAATCAGGATGTTGTAGAGCTAAAATCTGATTTCTAGACTTACATGTGATTTATTTAATTTACATTTTTTCTTTCTTTTTTTTCTTTCTTTTTTTGATTATGCTTTGGCTTCCCATTTAAAAAATAATGTACTGGATTGACCTCTAGGGTTTTTTAGTCCATCTGACATTTTTTAGTACTTATTTTAAATTGGTATATTTGCATCTTGGTGTCAGTTTTCATTGTTATTCTCTGCTCTTTGAGTTGTAACACCTCTGTGATATGAATTTGCTACAGTTTTACTGATATTTCAGGTTTCAGACCCTGCAAATTTTAGATTATGAAAACTTCTCATGATAATGCGTTCTTGTGAGACTGCTGGAGAAGTAATCTGGTGCCATTCCACTTTATGAGGCACTTCTTTCACGGTTGAGACTTTATGTGGAATAGACAATCATCCAAGGGAATGCTTTTGCTGGTGTTTTTTGTAAGTTTGGTTTAAGGTTTCCCAACAAGAACACAATTATTATTTTTGTGCTTGTCATATCTTCCCTTGACACCTGGAAGTAGGACACCATGCAAACATGCCATCTTAATTCCAATACAAAAGATTTTGTCATTTTGGAGAATGATGTGACCAGGCTAGGAAGAGCGTCTAGAATTTGATAGAACATATTATTTTCCTCTGTCAGTGAAGTCCATCCTCAGTTCAGAACAAACTTGGAAGGAATTTAACTTTACATTACATGCCAGCACTGATAACAGTGATCTTTGTTACCCCATAGATGTGATTTTTGGTACTGCTGTGTTGATTGTGCATGTGATTATTTATATTAGGACCATTTCTCAAAAGCTCAGCAATGAAAAATTTCATAGGTCAATAGAGGCCTCTTTAACATTCATTATGTAAGTATAACAATATTCTGAACACATTTTAGACATTCTTTTCGTACTCAGGTGAAACAACTCTATATAATTACTTAAATCAATAGATCTACTCTTATATAACAAAAAACCATCATGTTGTACTCAAAATTGCCTCAAAATTTCTTTTAAAGAGAGGCTTCAGTTTTGTTCATGCTCTATTATTTTTCAGAACTGCCAGAGCACTTTGTTGGGAGGGAGAGATTATTGTACCTTGTGAATTAAAAATGAAATTTGAGAAAGAAGTTCCATGTTAGAAATGACTTTGTCAAATTTTAATGTGTTTATATTTTTCTTCTTCCTCTATATTTGGAGAAACGTGAACTTTTTGAGTTAAATAACATAGTTGGTGATAGCTTAGGAGGGATCACTTTTTCTAGGAATATTTTTACATATTTTTTGTTTCTTTCAACTACTTGATTATATTATTTACAAGGTATACAATAATCATACATAAATTTTCAGTCAAAGGCACTGTGTTAGGTCTTAAAGATCAAATGTACCAAAAACCACAGTTTCTTTCCATAAAGGGTGTATAGCCTAGTGGAAATGAGACAGAATTTTAAAAGTTAAAAAAAATGCTATTTTACAAGATTTATAAAAG